TTAAATCCAAAGGAAGAAGAACTAGGGGATGTCACGGAAGAAACTCTCGATAAAAATCAGAGGATATTGTCTTCAAAGAAGTCAAAAGGATAGGACTTTTCAACGAAATCGGACGAAGAGGTGTGAAAGGGAAAATGCTCGAACCTGGAACAATATTGAGGAATCCAAATGTCTGAGAAAAACCTCGGTGACTTCCTAAGCTATCCTATAGTTTGGCTTCAATTTGAGGAAGAAATCATTTAAATGTTTAATCATACCAATTTTGTTGATTAGGGCTTACAATCATGTGAATGATCACAGTAATAGCCCGGAAGAAGTGAGGATTTAGATCGTGACAAATGATAATCTCAGAATCCTAAAACGAGTTAGGGCTTAAATTGTATAGTAGGATTATGCAAAGGCCTAAAGATAAATTGAGGATTTATGTCGCACTACGCAGATAATCTTGAAATCCTATGGCTTAGATGTGTAATTCTAAGGAATGGTTTAGTTGGTGTAGACATGTTTTGCTGTTGAAGATGATCGTGCTGCCCACAATGCTAATTCCAAGCTCCTTTTCGTAACTAGTTTAAGTTTTCTAATGTGTCAAATCCTGATGTCAAATTAAGTGTATTCTAAGGTTATGGTTATTTAAATAGCATGGAGAATTTTAAAGTTGATTAGAGTGCACCGGTTAGGATCCACGGTTCCCTCATTATGGTATCACTATTTTATTTTGAATTTACTTAGCTTAAACGAGTTATGAACCCCATTTAGACCGGAGAGATCTCATTAGCAATCGTGGTTTACCTCCTCCGAGGGACTCCCGTAAATTCAAAGAGACATTTTAAGTTTAGTGAAATTTCAAAGGATTTATGATTACCTTTGAAACAATTAGTTTTAGGTTTTTGAAAATGTTGATTAATTTTGAAAATGGTTGTTTTGATTTTGCAAGAAATTATAATACACAAACAAGCAGTTATAATATTGCTGAAAAATTAAAACAAAAATAGTTGAAGGTGTTTCTAACAAACCCTAATCTATGACTTATTGAGTCCTGAAAGATCTTAATAGATGGTTTTATTCCAAAGTGTTCAGGGAGTGACCCCAGACTGCTTTAAAGATCTCTTGAAGCATTCGAGTTCATTTTGAACTTATTATATTGTATTATATTGTTCCATTATATTGTTCCATTAATCATCCCAGGTCAAATTAAAATTACCACATTACTCGATGAATCTTGACGTTTTAACCATCTTTATATATGAGAACAGGGTACTCAATTAATCAGTTAATATTTTATTTAAAAGTTATGTATGTGAATGCCCCTAAGGCAAGTTCTAGTCATTAAGGACTTTTGTACCCACCACTAAAGTTAGGCTGATAGTGTTAATCATCAATCATGTTATCCTCTAAATCCTATCAAACAAGTTTTAAAATCAAGCCTAGATCACTACCAAGCCCCTTAATAAATCTAATGGGAGAAAGATTAGCAAATGTTAGAATTTTAATTTAGATGATATGGATTCTGATTAAAAGAAGTCAGATCATCATTAATTGTGGACTTAATCATAAGTGAAACATAATCTCCCTAGTTTAATCCCATCACTTGGAAATCATTTGATTTTGATTAACTTCTAAATCTTGATGATTTAACAAATTGTAATTTTATTATTATTATGGAAAGGTGGCAAGTTGTATTATACCTTTTATCCATTATATTTCAATCATCTAAACATATTCATTAGGATCAAAATTACCC